GTGAGGGGACCGTTGCTCACTGGTAAACAATAGCACACTGGCTGGGAAGGCAGGCCCAGGAGGCTCAGAGCGTGAGTACGCGTCCCGGACGAAGGACGATTAGCGAGTTAACGGACCATTTGCGAGCCAATGTTTAGACGAAATAACGGGACTATTTCCAAAATGGACGACTTTCAGGCCGGACGATTATTGAGGGACCACTGTAATGGAAATAAAATTAATCCGTTCCAGACACCCAAAAATATTAAAATAATTTTTTTTTCAAATTAAATAAAGATTTACATACTAAAAACAATCAGAAATCAAGTACATGCATATAAAAAATAATAATAACATTACACTTACCTTTACTGAAGACTTCTGGGTGGATGGGAGGAGGGGATAGGAGGAAGGTGTACACTATTGTTTGGAAGGAGAATCTCCTTCCATTAGGACTTCAGGTAGCAAGTCCTTTTCTGGGGTTACTTCCCTTCTTCTTTTAATGCCACTGGGAACAACTTGAGAGTCACTGGACCCCTGTCACGAGAGTCACTGGACCCCTGTCACATAAAATATCTGTCCAGAGAGGTCTGTTTCTGGCATTTCTTTATGATTTGCCTGAAGTGGGACAAGGTTTTGTCACTGAACATGTTGCAGATATGGCTTGTTTCAGCTTGGTCAGGGTGATACTTTTCAACAAAACTTTGCAACTCATTCCACTTTGAACACATGTCCTTAATCACCGAAGAAGGCACCTCCTTCACTCTCTTTTCCTTCTCCTCTGAAGCAAGTTCCTCAGTTGTGGTTTGATGCTGTTCCAGTTGAAGCTCTTGCACTTTGTCAGTGGTTAGCTCTTCCCTGTGGTCCTCCTCCAACTCTTCCACATCCCTGTCACTCACCTCCAACCCCATGGACTTGCCCAATGCCACAACACCTTCCACAACAGGCAGAGGGTCGGCAGGGTCAGGGTCTGCCTCAAACCCTTCAAAATCCCTCTGGATCATGTTCTTCGCTTTCTTTACCAAAGGGCTTGCACTAGCTTTCCTTGGGCCCATGGTGATTCATTTGGCAGTTGCAATCACAAAAAACAATGGGTTATTACGTATGAACCCGCGGGATGATGGTCACGTGTTGGTAAACAATGGCACACTGAGCGTGAATGGTGTGGGAGACTGGCTTTGTGTGCTCGGTGATGGGCCGATGGGTACTGGACGGTTGGCGAATCACGAGTCTAATCTCGAAACTAGAGGCCAAATTTTGCCGAAAAAACTTGCCGAAAGTCTGATTTCACGAACGTCGATGCTGCCAAAACTCGAGGGTCCACTGGACATTGTTTCGGTGTTTTCCTTAGAAAACTAGTGGTCTACTGCAGTCAGCCTCAAAAACTCCCTTTTCTATTACAGTAAGAACATGTCAAGCTACTATAGTAAAATTGGCACAGAAATGGAGGACACTTCTGCCGCTGCCTTTGCCACCATACTATGGCCTATTTACTCATTCTGGAGTATATACAGTGGATCTCGGGTAATGGCGGCATTGGCTAATGCCAAAATTGGCTAACGACTCGCTTTGGCATAAAAGTATTGTCTCAGCTAGCGCCAAATAACTTGGCTAAGGGTTTTCGTCCCGAACGTGTCTGCGTGGCCTGAGCGGGCCCAGCCACTCGCTCCATGTATCAGCCAGTGTGCCAGACGACTTCAAAAGGCCGTCACTAGATGGCAGTGTTTACCACAACAAAGAGGGAGAGGTTGTGGCCACCTCCACCTGTTACATGATGACATATTTTATTCATTCTAGAGTATATATCATGTTTCTATGTTATTTATATTGTTTATGTCATATTAGATGAACTGTGATAGATAAACAAGCCATATAGATGATATTAGCAAAATTATTCATGAAGTATTTTGCCCGGTCTCCAGACAAACTCTCGTCCACCGCCGACACCGCCCATACTACTACATGAATGACATATTTTATTCATTTTAGAGTATATATCAAGTTTCTATGTTATTTATATTGTTTATTATGTCATATTAGATGAATTGAGATAAATAAATAAGCCGTAGAGTTGATATTAGCGATATTGTTGAAGTACAGAATTCCACTGGAACGGATTAATTGCATTTCAATTAATTTAAATGAGGAAAATTGACTCTGCAAACGAGCAAATCCAGTTGCGAGCAAGGTCATGGAACGGATTAAACTCGCAAGTAGAGGTTCCACTGTATTATTATTATTATTTTTTTTTTTTTGTTTTTTCAACAAGTCGGCCGTCTCCCACTGAGGCAGGGTGACCCAAAAAAAGAAAAAATCCCCTAAAAGAAAATACTTTCATCATCATTCAACACTTTCACCACACTCACACATTATCACTGCTTTTGCAGAGGTGCTCAGAATACAACAGTTCAGAAGCATATACATATAAAGATACACAACATATCCCTCCAAACGGCCATATCCCAAACCCCTCCTTTAAAGTGCAGGCATTGTACTTCCCATTTCCAGGACTTGAGTCCGACTATATGAAAATAACCGGTTTCCCTGAATCCCTTCACTAAATATTACCCTGCTCACACTCCAACAGATCGTCAGGTCCCAAGTATCATTCGCCTCCATTTATTCCTATCTAATACGCTCATGCACGCTTTGCTGGAAGTCCAAGCCCCTAGCCCAAAAAAACCTCCTTTACCCCCTCTTTCCAACCCTTTCGAGGACGACCCCTACCCCTCCTTCCTTCCCCTATAGATTTATATGCTTTCCGTGTCATTCTACTTTGATCCATTCTCTCTTAAATGACCATACCACCTCAACAACCCCTCTTCTGCCCTCTGACTAATGCTTTTATTAACTCCACACCTTCTCCTAATTTCCACACTCCGAATTTTCTGCATAATATTTACACCACACATTGCCCTTAGACAGGACATCTCCACTGCCTCCGTCTCCTCGCTGCTGCATTTACCACCCAAGCTTCACATCCATATAAGAGTGTTGGTACTACTATACTTTCATACATTCCCTTCTTTGCCTCCATAGATAACATTTTTTGACTCCACATATACCTCAATGCACCACTCAGCTTTTTTCCCTCATCAATTCTATGATTAACCTCATCCTTCATAAATCCATCCGCCGACACGTCAACTCCCAAGTATCTGAAAACATTCACTTCTTCCATACTCCTCCTCCCCAATTTGATATCCATTTTTTCTTTATCTAAGTCATTTGATACCCTCATCACCTTACTCTTTTCTATGTTCACTTTCAACTTTCTACCTTTACACACATTCTCAAACTCATCCACTAACCTTTGCAATTTTTCTTTAGAATCTCCCATAAGCACAGTATCATCAGCAAAAAGTAACTGTGTCAATTCCCATTTTGAATTTGATTCCCCATAATTTAATCCCACCCCTCTCCCGAACGCCCTAGCATTTACTTCTTTTACAACCCCATCTATAAATATATTAACCCTTTGACTGTTTCAGGCCCCTCTCTGAAACTGTCATTCTATGTCGCTCAATTTTTTGAAAAAAAAAAAAAATTATTTTTTCTTATGAAATGATAGAGAATCTTTTCCCGATGGTAATGACACCAAAAGTTCGAAATTTGGTCGAAAACTCGTGGAATTATGGTCCCGCGAAGTTAGCGGTCTCAGCGACATATGCGTATCGGCGATTTCGCCGACTTTGAGCCCTATTTTCAGCCAATTCCATTGTTCCAGTTGAACAAACTCATAGCTATTTCTTTAGAACTCCATTTTATCTATCAGCTGAGTACAAGAAACCTCCCATTTACTAATTTGGACTACCCAATATGGTGGTCAGAAATTGGCAATTTGGCCAATTTCACGCAAAATAAAAAAGATGCCAATTTCAAAATAGGGTCCAGAATAAACAAGGTAGACATTCGTGGCACTAAAATAACATATGCTCTGTTCATTAGTCACATCTCTAGGCCCCTCTTATATTATTATTGCTTTCTATTTTGATTTTTTATTCATACAAAAAAATACAAAATTTACTGTTATGCAGACGACTGCATTATTGTAAAAATGGTATAAATAATATCAGTGCACTAGTGAAAGAATATTAGACTCCCTAGTTGATGTGTATTGGACGTGTGGTGTGATTTATTTACTCTTCAACATTGAGCTTAGTTTCAAGGTCGTTTTCATCGTAAAAGTAATGAAAATCATCTCTATTTCTGTAATATGTTTTCCATTTTATCACCTAAGACCATGAAAACGCGAATACAACGATAAATACTATACGAAAATACACCTCAAAGTCGGCGTTTTATTCCAAAAAAACGATCAGAGTTTTTTTTTTTCTCATTACGCAATGTGTGCTGCAGGATTTTTTTTATGTGGTGCACACTGACCACACAGACCCATTCTCTCACATGTGGGCCTACCAGCTTTCTCCCACTTGATTTGAAGCCGCTAGAATTATTGAGTATATATACGTCAGAAACATTGGCTCGTAAGACGTATTTATACGTCGAAAACAGTCAAAGGGTTAAACAACCATGGTGACATTACACATCCCTGTCTAAGACCTACTTTTACCGGGAAGTATTCTCCCTCTCTTCTACACACCCTAACCTGAGCCTCACTATCCTCATAAAAACTCTTTACAGCATTTAGTAACTTACCACCTATTCCATATACTTGCAACATCTGCCACATTGCTCCTCTATCCACTATCATATGCCTTTTCTAAATCCATAAATGCAATAAAAACTTCCCTACCTTTATCTAAATACTGTTCACATATATTATTATTATATATATTATTATTATTATTATTATTATTATTATTATTATTATTATTATTATTATTATTATTATTATGAGGGTTGGTGCAACAGTTGCTGTTTAGTATAAGGGTTGGTGCAGTTACTGTTAAGTATTTATGCTGCATGTGTTTAACTGGGCATATATAATGTTATGTTTTCTACTGCATATTGTACAGCATTGTTTAACAAGCCTCAGTATCTCTCTTGTTCATTCCCAGCCAGCAGTTCTGTTTGCGGGTGAACATTGTCATCCAAGCTTTTACTCGACGGTGCACGGAGCTTACCTCTCAGGCCGCGACGCAGCTCAGGTATTGTGTTTGCCTGATACCCCTCCTGATGAGGTTCTGGATGTTGAAGGCACAGCAGATTTGTCCTCATGGCTGGAGGGTATTTCTCTTACTTAATTTTAATATATATCATGTGATTTTATTATCTAGAAATAAACATATAACTACTGCAAATACTGTACATTTCTGGTCATAGAGTAATATTTGTGTAGTATTAAGGACCATTTTTCATAGTAAAAGACATGGTGTCAGTCTTCATTTATATTGTGTATAACTGCAGACTTCACACACACTATTATAATTAAGAGAATTTATAGTTATTGTACAGTGCTTGACTGCCTCCTTAAAACTATCCATGTGATGATGTATTTGGTCAGGTTGTGGATGAGATGACATTCTGAATTGAATTGGCTACTGGTAGGCATGTACTGTAGCAGTGCTCAAAGAATCGCTTATTAAATATAAGGATTCATTTAAAATCTATATTATATAATCTTTTAGTAATGTAGTTATTAATTTAGACTGTGTAGTCTTTTTCATTATTCTTGAATTCAAAAGAAGCAAAAGTAAAAATAATATGTGTATGTGGCCACCCATGGAAGTGTGGGACATGTGATTGCTATATATGGGAATTTTAGTCAAAAAAATAAAAAGCAAACTAAGCTAATTTTATGTATAAATATTTACTTAATATATCAATTCTAGTACAGGTTTTACAGTACTAAATATATATTTATGTATAAAACAGGGACTCAGTATATCTGATTCTCTCATATTTTACATGTAAATAGTTATGATGTTGACACTGAAGTTTAATGTTACATCACATGCTGAGCTAGATCAGTGTTGGTGGGTGACAAATAATTATGGTTTATACAAAAATTGGTTGATGAGAGGCCTCATGTAAGTGAGTGTTACATTTTACACTTTTACTTATCATCAATAACTACTGATCAGTTAGCTGTTGCTACTTGTAACACCTAACTTCTTGTCTCAAGCTTTTGGTCAATTTTATTTAGGCAATTGTTTTTATATTGAGGCAAATAGTGAGCATTTCTGTTAATCTGCTAGAAGTGTGATTGTATTTGAAAAGTACTGTGTAATTTTCTTTTAAAGACAATATACAATTTGATTGGTTTTTGCCACACCTCTTCAGCTAGGCAGATTGACCCGGAAAAGAAGAAACAAAGTTTTTCTTCTTTTTACATTTAGTAATTTATACAGGAGAAGGGGTTACCACCCTCTTGGCTCTGGCATTTTGGCCTCTTACAAGAAGCATGGCTTATGGAGGAAGGATTCTTCTCCACTTCCCCATGGAAAGCCCCTTATAATGAGCATAATTTATCTTAGCAGATTGAATTTTGGACTCCAACTTAACCCTCTCACTGTGTCATGTGTCACCCAGTTGGTTCCCACCTTCAGATGTTCCTTGCTGTACGATAGTTTGGCATGATATTTTGACTTTACAGTGGTGCAACTATGGTGCACATTCAGCATTATACATTTATTGATAGAATAAACTTGCATTCATTTATTTTTCAGTACTCGTATTTAGTTAGGTATGATAATTATTTGTTTATTTACTTATTCACTGACAGTAGTTATTTATTCATGTACAGTATATATTTTTTATATACAGCTTCTCCTTGCTTAGCAACATACTCGTTTACTGACGACTCGGACTTACGACAGGCTCCCAGACCAGTATACATGCCTAAATAATGTATAATAGAGCTGATTTCCTCTATTCTCTTTATTACAATGTACAGTACACTACTGTATAAACATTTAAAAATATACCAGAAATGTTATAAATGGTGGAAAGGTGACATTAAAACAATAAAAAAGATGGTTGACACAAACCCACTACCATTATAGTATGCTCCTCACTTAGTGACGAATTCATTTACCGACATGGTCTTAGGAACGGAACTTCGTTGTTAGTGAGGAGAGGCTGTGTTCGTGTTTGACTTAATGTTTTCAACTCATGATGGGTTCATCAGAACATATCCCCATCGTACATTGAGGAACAGCTGTTTTGCAAAAAAAAAAAAAAATGAAGCTGCTTGTAAGACCTATTGCATAACATTTTTAATAAGGGCCATGAGGTTTCCATATTTAGCAATATATTTTCCTTAAAAAATATTGCTGTATTAATGAAAAAATGCAAGATTTTGAGTGTTTTGTCAAATGGTGCCATAAATGTTCCAGACATAATTCTTGTATCTTAGCACAATTAGAGTAGCATAATTTTTCATTTTATACATGTAAAGAAATCCATAATTTATGAAAAAATCAAGATTTTTTTTTTTAATTTTGTTCATTTTAGATACAGATAAATAAAAACTAATTTACTGATACTGCTTGTATAATATTTCTGAAAGCAACTGTAAGTGCAGATGGGTGTATAAAAAATGAGGTAAAAAGTTGGTTGGAGTGTTGAGCTGTCTGTGGAACAAGGAAGTTTATCATTGGAGGCATAAAGGTGAATGTATCAGACTACAGTGGTACGAACACTTGTATGTGGCTGCGAGACATTTTCTTTGGATGTTGAAGCGAGGATTAGGTTGGAGACAGTGGAGAGCAGAGATGGCATAGTTGTGTGTGTTTGCACTTGTCTGTAGCACATGTGTGTGGTATGTTTCCTGCATTCTCATATAAAGTTTGGAGGGAACTAAAGTAAGCTGAAAGCACATGTGGTGTGGACACATTCCTCCTCTAATAACTGTGGACTGGAGATTCTGAAGGCTCAGGAATAAGCTTGTGACTACACTTCTGTATTTTTTTTTTTTTTGTCTTGACATCGTGGAGGGGGTAAATGTGTAATAGATCATTTTGGTATGTAGGCTGAAGCATTTACAGCAAGTTACAAACTTGATTAGGTCTATAAAATCTCTGCAAGGCAGCATAGGCCTGTCTGCATCTTCAGTAATCACTTAGTTTTAGAGGTCACTGGCTTAGTCCACTTGCACATTAGTGAATAAGTTATGTTAATGCCAGTGAACATCTCATCACTGATGTCAAGTTCTCTGGTAGGTTCTTGGGTTATCTGAATGTTTTAAGCAAGGTTGACTAATTATCCTCAAAACACTGTAGGAGTGCTACTGTTATCTGATGAGTGTCAGGTTTGCATGTTTTTGGTAAACCATAGAGTTTTGCTGAGCTAGGACTGGTAGAGAGGCGATAAAAGAATTTTCTGCCTTTCTTGAGCTTCCAAGGATGCTTTTGGTTTTGCTGAGGAAAGTATTTTTCTGCATGTACTTGGGATAAAAGCATAAGTATTGGTGTCACCTTAAAGATTTTGTGTAAATGTATTGAACTGTAGATATGTGTGTATCCACAGTGAGTCAGTATCACCATACCATTTACAGCCAGAGGGATGGTTGTTGAGATGATTGGTCATTAAGAAAGGATTGTGCAGAATAGGCTAAGAGGATGCATAATTCTGGAATGGATTGAAGGTAAAGAAGACATTCCAAAAGAAGTTGGAAGGGAGGGTGTGATGGTGGTATTGAGTGGTAGGTACTTCAGCACCAACATTCGCGTGATCATGTTTGGTCAAAGGGAGTAAAGAAATTTTTTTTGACATGCTGTTGGAGTGTGATCGCTGTTCTAGTTAAGAAGGGATTCCAAAAAATTAGTTACCTGTACTCTGAAGGGGTCTTCATGACATTTTCTAGGATTAGCAATAAGCACAGCATTCATGAGAAGAGAATATGATGCTAGTAATGTGTGTGAAGATCAATATTTTACGCTAAAGATCCTGAGATAATGGAAGTAGCATTGGAAGAGGGAAACAGAGGTTAAATAATCAGACAGACTAAAACTGTATGGAATAGCACTGTTGAGAGAGAAAGAAGCAGAGACCAACAATTACTGGAAACAATTACTGGATAGAACATAACTTTATGGAACATTACTGTTGAGAGAGAGAGAGGCAAAGGTAAAACATCACTAAAAGCAACAGAATCTTTGCTACATTACAGGGAGAAAGTGTACTGATGACAGGAGTTCCTTGCAGGCACATAAAGTAGACCAGGTGCCGTGTCTGAGGTACAAAATCAGGCACACCATCCAATCCAGTGAGGTAAATAATTCTAATGCAAGATCAAGCACACTATCTGAACCAAGTGAAAGCTCTGAGGTACAGAACTTTAGTACCAGTTCATGTATACCATCTGATCAGGTGCAAGCTCTGAGGTACAGTGCTTGTCATTAATATATGCCTAGAGGAAGGCACCTAACATACTTTAATGATACCTTAGAGCTAGCACCAGGCTTACTATAATGTCCAGAATAATGCCCTACCCTGGTATGTTTTTCAGCAAGACAAAAAGTTATGCTAGCCTCTCAACTTGTAGTGGGCACATCTAAGTATTATATAATTATTCTTAATTTTTTTTTTTACGCTGATTTTTACAGGCTAAGAGCTGTTATCCCACCTCAGCTCACTTCAAAGCCCAGCCCTATCTAAGGTATGCTACCTCCCCCAGGATGTGGGCCACAACAGATGGGTAACACCCAGGTATCTACTTACTGTTAGGTGAACATGGGCAGCAGGTGTAAGGAAACATGTCCAGTGTTTCCACCCAGCCAGGGATCAAACCATGAACACTCAGTATGTGAGCTGAGTATCCTACCAACCAACCACGGGACACCTAGGCTTAAATGGTGATGGATTTGTGTTCATGTTCCCCGGTGCTGTATGTTCTTCAGGGCCAAGTTGGTTTAATATGGGGAAGGAGTAAATTGCACAGATCATTGGATTACACAAGACAGGCCATCAAATGGAAGTAATAGTAGAAACGATAGATGTGCACAAGGATTCAATGAGGACCTGGTTGTGTCAGTTCCTTGAGGTCAGTGTTGATGATGTACCCACTCCAGAAGCACATCCAAGGAAACCTAAAAAAAAAACTCCCACTAATGTTAACTGCACTTACAGTTATAATTGCTCTGTGATCATTTGCCTGAATCTCATGCATTATGGTACAAAGAATTGTATGCAAGACAATACTCATTACCACACCATGAAACCTGTTGTAAAGTGGTTTTGTGACTAAGGTACGCTTCTTTGATGACTGGCCAGGAAAATCCCCAGACTTGAACCCCAGTGAGTAATCTGGGCTGTAATAGAGAGATCTACTAGGGAAAGGATGTCAGCCCTCCTTCCCACGGCTGGAGGATACCTTCCACGAGTAGTGGGGAAATTTACCCCATGAACCTCTGAAGATTGTGTGTTAATCACTTCCTAGATGGTTGGAGGATACCTTAAAACATAAAAGAAGATTTATTTTGAGAGGGGAAGGGGGTCATCATACTTTAATGATAAACACTGTACATAGTACAAGCAGCTGGAACAGATGGGATCATGACAAACTTGTAACAAGCAGGGGATTAGTTTTGAGATGTCTTGGTATTTATGTTATAAAATGTTGAAAGAGGGGAAATGGTACTAGGGATTGGTGCAGAGGCATGTATAGTTCCTTTATATGAAGAAAGGGGGAAAGAGAAAAAGTAAATATGAAGTTTAAAAAATTTATAGAGGAATTAGTTTACTGAGTATACCAAGGAAAAGTGTAGGTGTGAGATCAAGGTTTAGCATTAAAGCAATGAGAAATAGTCTAATGATTGAAATTTTTTGGTATCAGTTCTTACACATAGTGTAGATGAAATCTATGTAACTGGTATTTTGTTCAGTTAAAAACTTAATTAGAAAGTATGTTAAATGAAGGAGGTAAAGGAAATTGGGTAGATGGTGTGGAATAGTTTGAGGAACTTTTAAATGTCACGAAGAAAGGGAGGCGGTAATTTAGCATTGGCCAGGGAGGTATACCATCTTTTAGGAGTGTGGAAGAGCAGGATGTGAGTGTGGGGGAGGTGCATGAGGCTTTATGTAGAATGAAAGGGGGTAAAGCAGCTGGAACAGATGGGATCATGACAGAAGTGTTAAAAGCAGGGGGGGATATAGTGTTTGAGTAGTTGGTATTTTTGTTTAATAAATGTATGAAAGAGGGGAAGGTACCTAGGGATTGGCAGAGAGCATGTATAGTTCCTTTATATAAAGGAAAGGGGGACAAAAGAAATTGTAAAAATTATAGAGGAATTAGTTTACTGAGTATACCAGGAAAA